TTCAAAACAGGTAGCATGAGCTTTCATCCTTTCTGTTGAAGCTAACTCTCACTTAACTGTGATGAAGGAGAGGAAAGGATGTGTTGGAAATATTGTTAAGATGATAGTCAGCCAACAGATCATGGTTGCTGGGCTTGGTGGCGCATGCTTATAATCCCAGCACTCGGGATGCTAAGGCAGGAGGATTGCTATGAGTTTGAGACCAGCCTGGGCTGCAAAGGGAGTTCAAGATCAGCCTGGACTTTGTATTGAAACTCTGACTCAAAAAGACAAAAACAAAAACAAATCATGGCCAAGACATTAGCCAAAATATGCTACAAAAAGATACAATGCTAAAATTTTGCCTGGTATTTAGGGACACAAGTTATTGGAAGGTACAAGCAATTGGGGCCAGGGGTGTAGCTCAGTGACACAACACTTGCTCAGCATAACAGAGGCCTTGGCATAGAAAAAATAAAATGCAAACCTAGGAATCCACAATAAAGCCAATCACTTGGCTATCCTAAATATGAATGTTTGCTCCTACCCCTACCCTCAAACAGAACAACTCTACTGGTTCAGCTTTCCATGTTGGCCTTCTGCCTGAGTAACACATTTTAACCTTAGTAATTAGGGAAATACAAATTCAATCAATAAAAAGATTCAGTTTTATTCTCAGATTGGCATAAATTGCAAAACGAGGCAAAGGTTTGCCTGCAATGTGCATGTGGGGAAGGAGAAAGATCAGGTACTGTCAGGGCCAGTGGAAACTGGTCCAAACACTTTGGAAGCCATCAGGCAACCGTTAGCAGGCACCACGATGGATAGATGTGTGCTCCCTCCCCCAGACCTACTTCTGCATGCACGACCTGAAGAAGCAGTGTTGCACTAGTTCCACGCAAGAACATTCATAACAGCCCTGATTAGGATAATGAAAAATTGGAAGCAAACTTTGCTGTCTGTACAGTGGCGAATCATGAACATATTTGATAGGTTTAAAGAATGGACTACTGTACAGCAGTGAAAAGGAATGAATTACAAAGGCACATACTAACCTAAGGGCAAGCTGGAAAGAAAGTAGCCATAAGAAGGACAACAATACAACATCACTTGGCAAAAGATAAAGAGAACTGGACTCTACTTGATTTGTGGATGTAGGTAGTAAAAGCCAAATCCACACATAGGAATGAAAACCAGCAACTGCAAGATAATGGTTATTTCTTTGGACTTAAAACTATATTCCTTAAGCTGAGTATTGGGTACACTGAAGTTAATTTTATGGACTATATTTCATGTACTCCCAACTATTGGACAAATACTTTTTTCCACTGAAAAGATTACAGGCTATGTTTGTGGCTCAGCTGTGGAGTGGCTGCCTAGCATGGGTGACACCCTGGATCCATCTCCAGCACCACAAACAAAACAACAACAACAACAGCAGCTCCCACTCTGCTGCAGCTCAGCAGGCTGCCGCTTCTGTTTGCAGGATCCAGTAACCCGGGCTGCGGTGGAGAAGAGAAGGCGAGGCGGTGCAGTCTTTCAGCGTGTCTGGTGCCAGGTACTAAAAGCAAAAAAGAAAAGCCTCTCCTGGTGCCAGTTCAAGTGTCAGGGGCTGGGATTTAGGGAGAACTTTGCTGGCTCCACTATGCTCCCTCTCACATTACATTAAAATCCCAGGCTCCAGGTAACACAAGCACTGCTGCTGTGCAGTTGTACGGTTAAGGGTGCTAACATGGGGGCCTTTCTCCAGCTCCCCTCAAGGACAAATGCAGTCTCTCAAATGTCACCCAAGACTCGGAATCCGAGGAGTCCCATCCAGCACCTGGCACTGTTAACCCCTCATGTCCCTGGGTTATGGCAGGGAACAGATTCACATTAAACTGCATTTGTATTTATACTTAGAAGGGGGCTGGGATACACATTTGCTGCCCAGGATTCTTAGACTGTGCTAAGGATGAAGCTGGCCACTGAGCCAGTACAACCCAAATGGGAATCAGCTCTACAGCAGGAAGCAGAGCCACAGATGTCGGGCTGACCAGCTTTCCAGTGACATTACCTGGCCGCAGGTGCACCTGACCCAAACTAGGATAACGCTGTTATTAAGCCAATGAATTTCCTTTTGCTTGAGCCAGTTTGAAACAAACTTCCAATTTGGCAACCCAAAAGAATCCCAACACAGATCCTAAACGTGTTTCTGATGGTCTTGGCCTTGACTCTCTTGCCTTCCCCTGGCTCAGCCTTCCAGATGCAGCCATTCCTTCCCTGCTCACTGCTACCGCCCTTACCAAGTCCTCACCACTATCTGGAAGAGGCGCTGCACACCATGCTGGACACCGAGGCCCTTCCTGACCATGCATATAATAATCTGCAGTGCTGGTTGATAGGCAGATCCCACCGCCCAGAGACACCGGCTCCACGGGGCCCTGGGGAGGCTCTGGAGGCTGCTTACCAACACACCTGTGCTCCCACCTGGCATGGTTAGAATGGATTCAGGTGCTCAGGCTCAGCTGACTGCACACCCCTCCCCTCCAAACTCTGCCTCCAAACTCTGCCACACCCATCCTGTTAGACCTTTTCAAAGTATTCCTTTTGCCTCTTGCCACTGCCTCCATGGGGCCTCTCCTCCGTGGGGCCCTCTGGAGCAGACATGCACCTGTCCTCCTTGCCTCTCACTGCAACCCCCCCACGTGCTGCGAGGGAAATCCTCCCATGAAGCTCCCTGCCTTCTCCCTGTCCTTGTTAATACAGTACGTTCGTTCCTTGTCTCCCCTTCCTCACTCCCTCGCTGA